CGCCTGCTGCTGCTGCTGCTCTGCACCAGCCTCTCGGGCGGGAACCCTGCAGGTAAATGTAAACTCTCCCCGGGCTGGGTCCCCTCCGCCCTCCGTGTCGGGAGGGCCGGAGCACCGCCTGGGAGCAAAAGTCCTTGCTCCGCAGCATCCCCCCGGTTTTCGGGGGACGTAGCGCTGCCTCAGCACGGCAGCTGCCTCTCGGCCTTGCCTGTGGGAGCGGCTGAGGCGTTTCTTAGCGACCCCGACCCTTCCTGGCGCCCCTGTCTCCCTCAGGAGATCGGGGTTCTTTCTCCTGGGACAGCGGGGATCCGCGCTCGTTGTCCCCCAGCACCGAGGCCGTGGGCGGCCGCAGATGGGCAGAGCCGTAACGGCGATCAGCCGTCCCCTAGCCTCAGCACCCTCTCCCTTGCTTACAGAAGGGTTTGTTGGCTCACAGGTGCAGGATTGAGAAGGTGCGGTGTTGTGCCTTATTTCTGTCATGTCCTTGCTGAGTAAAGTGTTTAAATGAAAAAAACCCGCAAAACACTAGGGTGTCAGTGTGCCTCATGGATTATGAGAGGTGCTCCTTGGGATTTGTTTTTGTGTTTTTGAATGTAGCATTTAAAATCATGAAGAAAGACGGGCTTGAGCTTTCTGGGCCCTGTTCCTCCTCTAGAGGCTTTCAGCAGTTCAGCAGCAGGCCAGTTCTTTCTCAGGAAATACGATCTTATGCCTAAAACTAGTGGATGCCTGTCATTTTTTTCTGCTTTTTGAGGCATTTCAGATTAGTAGAAAATTATTATAGCAGGAATTACAAGATGGCTGGTATTTGCTGTCCAGGGTGAGATTCTTGGAGTAGGTCTTGGCATGGCCAAGAGTTCTGTCCTCTGTATGTGAGCATATACATACTTGTATGTCAACATCAATGCTGTGTCTTGAACTCATTGTGGTTTAGCTGCGTTTTCAGTGTGTGAAATAGAAGCAGTTATGTTTCCTTCTGCCTCTGGTGCGCTTCCTAGTACCGAGAAGACCACTAGTGCTCCCTAGGTGATGTTAACTTTTCTAAAATTTATAGTAGTTTCACATAATGTGAAAGGAAACATACTTTGTACTTCTCAAGTCTTGTTTGAAATAAGTATTTAAGTATGTACACAGACAAAAATCTACTTAGTAGTTCTTAAGTCTTCTTTAAAATACATGTACACACAGAACTTGACATCATTTCTAGCAGCTTACTTGAGGAGCTTTTTGAGTGCAAATGGTCTGATATTTGTAGAAATGTGTGAGTTAGCATGTGGCTAATTTCCATAAGACAGTTATTTTTGATAGCTGTTAATGCCAAAATCCATACCTGATGGTGTTTGACGAAGTTTTAAGTTTATGTAAAGCCATTGGTGAAATGAAATTATAGCCTCTTGCGGGAAGAAACAAAATAAACCAGTGATCAAACGGCAAAACCTTTGTGTTTCCAAAAACTGTGCAAGTCTACCATCTCTCTAAAGTGGGGAGTATCATGGTTTAGAGCAGACTTAAGAAATGAGCCACTAGCTTTAGTACTTCTTATCCGTATAGAGTGAAGGTTTTGTTTTCCAGACTTCTAGTAAATGTTTTTACAGCTGTATGAACTAGATAGGGAGGCATCATATCGTGACTTCTTTGATTTAAGTGAAAAACCGGTAGTTTACTCTTTCATTGGTTATTAACTAAATGTGTATGAAGCTAGTTGAGCACAGGAGCTCTCTACACAGCTGCAGCAAAGGGAAGTTCATGACACCTGAAGGCAGAAAAAACTGTTTTCCAGCGAAGTCCAGAAACTGTGTTTGTTTTGGAGATGTGATGGTGCTTCATCCAAAAGAAATGCTTATGGTAAAAGTAAGCAGAGGGAGCACTTGCACACACAGACTGATTTGTGGAAAGGTGAATTGCATGGTCGGCAGGCTGGTCACACAGATGCTGCAAAAGCCCGATTAGATTTTTATTTTGAGATAATATGTTGAAGATGATCTTTATGTTGTTATCTTAGTCATGTAACTGCTTAGTTGCTTATTTTGGAGGAATCTAAACTATTGCTTTTATTTTGTATTGATTTAAGGGTAATTTCTAACCAAGTGTCAGAACACTTGTTCAGAGCTTGCTGCATCGTGTGGGTTACCTTTGTGGTTGCCTTAGTGTAGCTGCAGCAAGTGCTGTCATATTGATTTAGGACAAACCATCCCATCACTCACCTTCATCTCTCAGTTTCTGCTCCTGAAGAATTCAAGGAGCTATGAGCACAGAACACACCTCATTCCTTACAGACTTTGCTTCCAAGTTGGGTTTTTCAGGTTTGACCTGAGGGTGCAGCTTTTATCAGGGTATTTGGGAGACCTTAGTGTTGATTCTCTGATATCTCTGGGGCATGAGGAGGGTTCTGCTGCATGGTTTTGGGTGCTACGGAATGCGTGTGATCTTAAAAAGTATATTATCGATGTTACATTAAATAGTAAAATAAAGATGGTAAATTAAACCAAATTGTATTTCAGTCATTTCTTACTCAGCTGCTTTTCTGGCTGGAAGAGAGCAATTAGATTAAGCCTGAAATTACTCTGGCAGTAGTAAGCATGGTACATCCATACTTTTTTGCCCCAAAATACCAACTGCCATATGAAGCAGAAGTAGTGTAGAAAACTAAATTCATTATATCATACTCTTTCCTATTCCTTGCTGCATGAAAATCAAGGAAAAGAGACCTCTACAAGCTATCACACTGTTGATTAAATCTAGTGCAAAGCTACTGTAGGCTGAGGTGTGCAGCCATGACTCAGTAGTTTGAGAAGTTGCTCCACGCGACTTGCTTACATCATTGCCTGGCTGGATGACACTGAAGGTGCTGTGTTGGCCAGCTGATCTCCAGTGCTATTCAGTAAGTATATGTGAGAGGAAGAGAGTGGGGCAGTGTTATCTCTGTTCTGTGTAGTTTGATGTGTGCCCAGGTAAGGTGAAAAGATACATAAGCAGGGGGGACAAAAATAACACTACTTGACTTCTTTCACTTGCTACATGAATTAAGGAAGAAAGCCAAGATGAGAACCTTGTTAGTATGCAAACCACATTGCAGGTTGTCTGCCTTCATTGCTGAGAGATAACAGTGCTGCTGTACAGCTTGGCACTGGCACCTTCTAAATTTATCATCTTTGGGGATTTTAATTAATATGGAGGTGATCCATGACATACTTAGAACGTCTCAAGATGCTGCAGATAAGAAAATTCATGGAAATCTTTCTTCAGTTGTACTATGAATATAAGAAAAATAATAGCTGTCTCTGCTCAGTACCTCTGTCAGGCAAAGAATAAGACTCAGTCTTTTTAGCATCTGGCTCATAAGCCAGCACACCATCAGAACAGATCTTTTAAGTTCTCTTAACTGAAGGGCTGGGAAGGAGCAACTGGCTGTGGGACCAGTGGACTGATAAAAAAGTGGGTTTTTCACTAATGTTTAATTCTTATAATATATTTTGACAACTGTGTTTTACTCATAGTCCAAAGTGGTTGAAGTATCAAGTATGGGCAGATTGAGACAGCGAATGGTGTAAACCAGCCATGGCTATGATGGAGTAACTGTGTGCTGGAGGTGCCAATGGAGAATCTATGGGTTGGTCTATGCCTGTTGTTGCTGAAGTGGGGTAGGACAGTTAGTAATGTTCATTTGTAGGAAATGGCACAGTTCTGACTTCACCTTCTGCAGAAGGCCTGTGGTTCTCAAGTTTGAATGCACTTAAAATGTGACGCAGCTTTTCACTGTTCACTTAAGACTGGAGCCTTGCCTTCCAATTCAGCATATTCTGTGATTTTGTGATCTGTGCATGTTCTTTGCTGTCTTGGATATCCAGAAGAGTTCATGATCCCAATTCCACTCTCCTGCCAAAGACTTTAATTACAAATGCAAGATACATGTCTTTTCCATGAGTGGCTGAATCACTCTCTCTTAGTGCTATGGCACTGAAATACGTCTTGAAATACCTTTGTCAGTGAGGATAAACAAAATAAACACTAGCTCTCACACCCAAAGGTGGGAATAAAGGAATGAGGGCACGCTTCCATTCTTCTAAAACATCTAGATATCTTGATTTTCTTAAAAGAGTTACACAACTACTAACCAAGTGGTCCTTTGCCCCTTCCGTTGCTGTTCTTTTTCCAGTCAAGAATACAAAACAGATTAGAGTCTTAAATGGTTCTTGTAAAAACTGTATTATAGGAGGAGGATCAGATTTGCAGTGGTACTGAGGTAAACTGGAAATAATTCTTAGTATGGGATGCTGAAGTTACTGTTTGATACAGATGTCTTTTCTCTTGTTTACTGTGGTGCTAGTGGAACCAAAGGAGGTACGTTCATTGCTTGTTCATCACACTAGATTTGTAAAGTTGTAAGGAAGTCTGTAGTCTATTGGAAAATCTGCTAATCTGTATTAAAAGTAATTGACCAATGTCAGTGGCATAAGTGGTGTTTTAAGCCTATGAACACAAAGGATATGAGTACAACTTAAAACGTTGCTGTAACATTCTGAGGAGTGACTTTGCCAGCTGGTAAGCTAACTGCAAGAAAATAACTCTGTACAGAATTTAGGGATAAAATAAATATTGCCTCCGTTCTTTAATCTTCTCTTGCCTAAAGTGAGCTAACAAAAAACAATTCTTGTGAATTTTTTAATGTGTATGCTCAGAACTTGGGGAAAAAAGGCTGAGGTGAGGACATTCTGCTGCGATTATTTTCCTGAAGTAACTTTTTCTAACTCAAAGTTTCTTTAAACTTTTTCTGGTGTTTTGTTTTGTTTTTTTTAGATCCAGCTATGACAACACAAGATTCCAATCAGACTCAGGTGAATTCTGTGACTAAGATGTCCGTGACTGGACATGAATCATCTGGTAATTGTCTTATTTCAGTACACTTAAAACTATAGTCCTTTTTCCTATTGATATCTGTCATACAGAGTCAACATTTTCACACTTAAGTCTCTTGAAATAAGATTTTGACTTTCTGGAAGAAGCAGAAGTAGATACAGCACAGGTCTTTTCAAGCCACTGCAAGAGCTTGAGTGTCATAAGTATCTCCAGAACTGGAAAAAGCTATACAATTACCAGTTTTGTGACCTGTTGCCCTTAGGAATATGTGCTTTAAGAGCAGGCAATAACCCTGGAGGTCAGGCAGTGCCCAGCTCGTGCCACTGCAGGGAGGTTGTGTTCTAGCCTTAAGTTTTTAATATGGGAGCTCCTTATGCCTGAGTATTAGTGAAAGGTATAAAAAATACCCTTGCATCACTGTGCCTGCTAGCTTCATCTTTCTGAGTTATGGCTGTGTCAAAACTGTCTGTTGTCCCTTATACATTAATTGTATTTTTAACAGGGAGCTGAGAATAAGTTCCAGGCAGGACAGGAAACCAGTGATTATTGGTTCTGCTTCTTTCTCCATAAAGATCAGAGAATCAGAATTTCAGCACTGTCTCGCAAAGCTCATGTTGATTAGTGCAAGTCAAACATGAGCTAAGTTATATTTGTATGTGAAGTCAATTTCTGGCAAGTTATTTCACCTACAAGTTGGGGTTTTTTATGAAATAATGGTTTTTATCTGGTGTTCATCTTCTAAGCTTTTTAGCACAATGTGAGAACTAAGAGTGCAATAGCTAATAGATTCAACAACTCTCTACATGCATAAACACACATAGACATACATGAAATACAGAAAATGTTTCATATAGTATCTCATCTGAATATTTTCGTTTGATATGTGAATTGAGGAAGAAAGTAATTGTGAAAATCCTGTTTGTTGCAAAACACTTTAAAGGCTGTTTAGTTTTTTTTCTGGCTGGATCTGCCATATGAACTGGCATTTGTGCCTTCTGAATGTATCATTGCGAGGGATTTCTGTGAAAATTATGTGTGTACTGAACTGACATAAACTCAACTATTCTGTGACAGCCCTGGCATGCTGTCCAAGTGTTTGTGCACAAAGGCAGGCTAAGATCTGCCAGAGCTTTTCAACCTTGATATAATTTCCTGGGTAAATACTTGGACTAGTTTACTTCTCCATGGGGCAGAGATCAAGGCTTGTTTTGTCCTTGTCTAGAGCCAACAGGACTATTGTCTACTGCTAAAGACAGCTTTGATTTCTCTGCTTAAAAGGCCATTTTGTACTATCAGTTAAGATTAACAACAACCTACTGCTAACAACACCAAATGAAATAGCCTGAAGTTCTGTTCTTCCATACAAAACACTTTAATATACACGTTTATTTTACTTAAACTGATTGAAGCTTGAGGGAAAATATAAAAATGCGTGTGGAACAAGCCAGGAGAAGTGTGATTTCCAGTGGCACAGAATTCCTTGTGCTGTGAGCTGGAGAGGATGTTTTCTGAAACTGGCCAACAACTTGAAAAGGCAGGTGTACCTCTGCTTAAACCTTTAGATGCAAACCACTAGCAGGGGCCTCCTTCAGCATAGCCAAATCCTCTCAGCTGCAGCTCAGAGGCATGCATTTAAGATCTTTACCTGAGAGTTCAGTATTTTATGCAAGGGAAGGGAAGGAGTCATTCTGATGAGATGTAGGCTTTCAGAGATGTTTTTTCTACTTTACTGTGGTCGATTTTGCCACCCAATGCATCTCTCAGTGGCAAGGCTAAAAGGTGTAGCCCAGTTCCTCTGTCTTTAATTGTGATTGGGAATCTTTGCAACCCATGAACAGCAGATGTAATCAAGCCCCTTTCCTTCTACGAAAACCAGAATAATTTTCTCTTACGATGCTGTGTGACTAGGCAGAATCAGTCTCTAACTACTGTTCATATTTTTCTGCAGTGCATTATGAAATATTTGACAATAAAGATATTTTCCAAGCATCTAAAAGCATGTGTGGCATAAAGCATTTAGTGTATCTTTTGGGGTGGTGGTGAAATCTATTTCTTTCTTTTCATCATCTTATTTAAAAGAATATTGTCGTAGCTGGGCTACATCTGTTAGAGCTGAAGCTTATTAATTTGCTTTCTTGTGTTCTTGAAATGCATGGAGCAAGTGATGGGAACAGACTGTACTTAGAGTTGCTTTATCAAGCTTTGTAGATCTTTATAAAAGATCTCATACTCTCTGAAGGGTGTGTGATCCACAGCCTCATCAAAAAGGAAGTTTGGTGGCCATACACCTCGTACATGTAGGTTTTCCTAAGAAAAGGAGAAGAATATTATTAGGTCAGCCATATGATACTTAATATTGGTATTCTTTCTTTGTAGAAGGGCATTGCCTTCTATATGAGAAGTTTTGAGAAGCAGTAACAGTCTTTGACCATTTTGTAGTTTACCACATGTGTTCTTGCCCCTGAATTCATTAATTAGCACTTAGATTAGATTGTCTACCTCTGACTTCCTGGCTGTGTTGTTAGATTGTAGAAGCTTTGGGAATGGCAGCATTCTGTTGTTCTGGGCTTTTTTTGTTGAGTGAGTTGTGTTGGTTGGTTGGCTGGGTTTTTAAAAGCTCTCTAGAGCTTATTACTTTTTCAAGAACTGTTTAAATGTTGATGTAGTTCTGTGTGTAAGCTATTGGTGACTTTTTTGAGTCAAACTGTAAAACAGCAATGATGGTTTAGATACTGACATTCACAACTGTAACATTACGATAAAGCTAGAAACATTTATCTAGCAGCATAATTGCTGTAACAGCAACTTTGCAGTCCTGGCTGCTAAGACAGGTTTATAAAAGAATGGCCACAGTAGTCAGCACTTGACAAGGTCTGTTTTCTCCATTCAAGATTGATATAACTAATAATTGCCATACCATATTGTGTGCTTGTGTCATTATTTATATAGCATAACTTAACCATGTTTCCACCCAAACCTTGTTACCTCCAGATGCTGCCACGCAAGAGTTCAAGCCAGGAAACAAGCTGAGCGTTGATCTCTCAGAGCATGTGATAGTCCTGCCTGCTGGTGAGTGTGTTACTTTTTGTCTTCCAATTATTTTCTGTTGAATGTGAGTACACACAAACTTTCACATGAGCTGTAGAAGCATCTAGAATGGCAAGTTCTTGATAAAGTGAAAATGTTCACAGTGAGCATGTAGAGGGCCTAGTGAAAGGTAAGTGCATTTATGTTACTATTAATTTCTCTGTTCTGGTAATAACTATTTTGCAGTGGAGAATTAGATTCCTACTTTTATTAAAACTAAAACTAATTCATAACTCTTCCTCCAAATCAATTGAAACAATAGGTTTTTTGCACTAATGAATCAATCCACTTGGAGAGACAACGTAAGCTAGAGTATTTGCTGAACAGCAGGTGGTAGCTTAGCAACATTGCAGGAGTTGAAGTGTGAAGAATAGCAAAAATAAACCTGTTCTTAAAGTACATATGAAGTTCCCAGTTGCCAAACAATAATCTAGAATTGATTTCTTGGATAGCTGAAGAAACTGATCTAACTGAAGTATCTCTGGAAGATTTGCAAAGTACTGGTGTGATATTTTAAGGATGTAATTTTGCAGTATTAATGCTGCATTTTCTTCTAGCAGGAAACTTAAAGTACTGTCTGTTACCTGTTCTTGTATCTGCGCTCTTAGTGCAGGAGTGCCCAGGCATCAGTCTTGCTATTGGTTGATTTCATCCATTTCTGTATTTTGCTTATTCACATTTTAAAATTATTTCATAAGGGAGAGATACTGTTTTCAGCTTGTCTAACTAGGCTGACTGTGAAACTTCTGCTGCTGTGGAACCAATTCCAGTTGTGAAATTATGATAATGAACAACCTCAACAAGCTGAGTTATGCTTGGCTTATATTTATTCAGCCTAATTGCCCTAATAAATGAGTTTCAGTGACTGATATTGCTCTGCAAAGGAAGACTGAGGTGTTGCACTTCTAAGTTTATCTCCAGTTCAACAGATTAGAATTACTTTGGCTGTGACTTGCAGTTCTGAATATGCTGTTCTTTAGGTTGTACATGGCTCTGCCAGACCCAGTAAAGTTCACTTACTCTGGATCTCGTGCTATCCCTCCAGTGAGACTTTGCTGCTGCATATATATGACTTTCAGTACTAGGTCAGTGAGCTGTACCTTGAAACTTCATTTTCTCTTGGAAGGAGTGTGAGCTGTGCAATGCACCTATAGTTTTTGACCACCAAATACTACAGGGTATGTCTAGAATTGAAGTGAGGCATGCATACATTTTCTTGGAGTATTTATATGACAAACTACACTTCTGTCCAGGAATAGATGAATGAAAAGGCCAGTTATGAAAAAAAAAGGCGGTACTAATGGATAAAACATCCGAAGTGTTCTCTTATAGGAGGCTGTTTCTGTGGATCAGAGAAATATTTGCTGTTGATAGTTTATTTTATGCTTATGAGCCTATACTCATAAAAAGCAAAAAACTGACAAATTTTTCTCTTGTACTGTAATATTTTCATACTGTGATTCTACTGACTTGCCAGGAAGGCAAAGGTAGCCCTAAATGGGTTTGAAGAGGTTTTGATGTCAGCTTGGGTAACTATAGGCATGAAAGGCCTGACGCAACCGTGTTAAGGGTGCAGATTTTATCAATAGCTTCCCCAGCAATAGGATATACCTGTGATCTCACAGTATCATAAAAATCTACATCTGGCTAAGATCCAAATAGTTACAGATACTTACGTCTTACTCTTCTTGACATTAATATAGTTTTTTATATATATATTAAATATTTAATATTTTTCATTTGGATTAAGTAATGTAAAAGCTTAAATCTGTCTTGCTCTCAGTGAAATGAGTATCTGTGCTTCTATATTAGAGCCCTCTAGGAAGTTTACCTACAAATTTGGAGTGTGTTATTTTGTAAAGGGATATGTATTTTACCTCAGTTACTAGTTAAGAAAATTTCTGTGAAACTGATTTTGCAGGGGCTTTTTTGCCCTGAAGAGTATAAAGAGCACCTGTGTCCCCCTGTAATCCTGCATATGTAAGTGCAGTGTCTAAAGTTCCTTTACCTAGAATGAGGAAATTCATTTTTTAATTCAATGTTTTTACACTTCTTGTAGGTCCATTTGAAAAAAATATCTCTGTGGCCAGTCCAACTGAAGTTGATCTTACATGCAAATTAGATGAGAATTCCAATTTGAAAAATCCTCAAGTGACATGGAAAAAGGGAAGTGAAACAATCAGTCACACCAGTAAAGCTCCAAACAGCTGGACCATCAAGTAAGTAGCATTCTTTACATTGTGATTTGCAGATTCTAATGAGTTACCATTTTATATACAGTGCCCAATACTAGTAACATGTATATTAGAAAAGGGAAAAATGCAGAGGTTAATCAAAAATGTAGAGAATAATGTCCTGTCAGAAAGGAGAAAGATTGCAGGCACCTCAAGCCTGGAAGATGAGCTCCTATTTTTCTTCTAGTGCACATAATTTGTTTTTAAAAAAGAGCATAGAATAACAAAGCAGTTCCTTAAAGTCTAGTCCTGTTTAGTAAGTGAAATAATAATCAGTCTGAGATTAAAATATTGTAGCAATTTCTCTTTCCACTCCCTCATTTTCCACACGCTCTTTTCCTCCTCATTGCTGCTTTGCAAGTCTGGGAGGCATAATGGTCATTTTCTATCCTTCATAGATAACAAAAGGTAGAAGTGACATTTCCAGTAAAGATACTTTGAAGGTTTTCTTGAGTATTGAGACTTGAACAGAAATTCAAAAATATGTTGTAGAAGCCTTTCTATAATCAGTACAATTTATTGTTTTTTAGAATTAGGCCAGTTACACATTTTAACTGACTGGTCTCCATTTGATTTCTATATAGCTTTAAGTGCAGTAATACTTAGATAAAATTTCTATTTATCTATTATTGTCTATTAGTTATCTATTATAATCTATTATCTATCTTCATCTATTGTTATGTATTTGTTTATATTTTTTTCTGTAGAAAATATGATGAGACTATAACTATCACTTTTTTGATAATCTATATACACAGACACCTAAATCTTTTTCAAAGTGACAGTAAAATGTATAGTTTGCCAGTGGAGAAGATGCTGGACTTCATTAGATGAAAGTTCTTTAAAACTGTTTATTTATGTATTTATTTATTTTGTGTTGAAAAGATTAAAAGATTGCTTAAATGGTTTGTTCTTCCTGAAGCCCTACATAGACGTGGATTCACCATGTGAACTAAGAAGCATATCCTAACTCAGTAATTTGTAGATAATGCTGCTTAAAGGTGTCCTTCTGTCAGCATGAAGGGTGAAAATGTTGTTTGTGATCCAAAGTGTGCTTGTGCTCTTCTATTTTCTTAAACACATTACACCATTTCTGCATTGCACTGAACCTGAATCCTAGTGTCTCAGTGGTGGTATCCTCTCTGCTTCATTACTAATTCTTACTGTTTTCTCTGAAATGCTAATTAGCAGTCACTTGTAGTGCAATAAAAAATTTGTGATTTTTTTTTTTCCTTTTTGTTAAGAGTGACCATCTCAGAGAGCAGTCACCTGGGAAGTTACACTTGTTTTCTGAAGGCTGAAAAAGAACTCAGTGCTACATTTCATTTGCATGGTAATTTAATTGATTTGTGTTTATTTAACATTTTTGTTCAGCTGACTACTGCGAAGCTGTGTTCATATTCTTTCTGGACAGTAAAAATGGCAATGTAATTTGATAAGTAATGGCTAATGCAGTCAGGCTAAGTGCGAGTAACTATCAAAGTAATTTCTCTAGCATGGATTGAAGAATATTGAGCCAAAAACTAAAAGGCTTTAAAAAAAATTCTAATAACCAAAAGAACATACAAGTCTGTTTTTTACCCTTCTTGACTAACTGGTTTCCCCTTCCCTCTCCAGATGTGAATGCACTTCACTTTCTGGGGCATGAGGTAACAAGACGGTGTCTCAGATAAATTTCTTCAAAAAGAGCCAATAATTTGAAATTTGAGCCTGAGGTTAGGTGTTAAAAGTGAAGCAGTGATTGGTAAAATGGAGGCAGGATTTTTAAAATTTTATTTGTATTTCTGAAACACTACATTATTGCTTTAGTGCTTTTATTCTGTAATACTATAAGAATAGTACTGAGATTAACAATTAGTGTACTTCATTGAGCAGTATGAGTGCCCTTTTTTCTGTTTTGTTTTCTTCTCCAATAATATTACCCAATCCAATAATGTACTAGGTGAAATTCAGATGCATGGAAGATATGTGGAAACGGTAATACGAGCTGCTGAGCTGATGAATATCTCTAACAGGAGTTAATCCTTTCTCTGTTCCTGCCATCCAAATTTTGCACAGGGCAAGGCAAGCATCTGTAAAGGCAGATACAGAGACATTTTCCCTAAACAGGCTCTGAGAAAACCTAACTATTCAAATCATTACCTAACCTTAGCTAAATTAAGAAGTGGGTCTCCCTAATTCTGAAGTTGCAAGCTGCCTTTGTTCAGTGGGATATCCAGTAATAGGACTTGAAGAAACTCACGTGGGTTCAAATATCAGACATCGATACCTGCTTTCAGACCTTCAGCCAGGAGAGACTAGATTGCAGTGCTGAATAAGGACAAGGTTGTAGTTTATTCAGGCCTTTTAATATCTAAAAAATAATTACGTGTTTTTCTTGTCAGCATGTGGGTAAGGTTTAATCAAATAGCTAACCAAGTCGGTGTAGATGGAAAAAAGTTGAAGGAGAATTTTTTACAGAAATTTTTTTTTAAAGTACAAAATAACTATTACAGTAAGGGCAGCAATGACTCAATAGGAAAGTCATCTTTTCCAGACCAGTGCATAGGACTGGTTGATTTATTATAAGAAGATGAGAGAATTGCTGCCTGATGGTTGAATGCTGCCACTTCTGATGCCATAAAACCTACTGGCTTAATGCTTTTAAGATCAAGGCAGGAATGAAGGAAATGGGAAAGAGAAGTCCTTGAATCTTCCAGTCAGTAATGCAGGGAGAACAATTTTCAAACTGAAAGATGAGTAATGTGTTGGTATAGACTCAGTGGCTTAAGTCATCATCACTGCTGTAACTAACTGCAATATCTTTCCCACAAGGCAGTCAGGGATTATTGCATATGTTACCTCTCCTTCCCCCCGCCCTGATTCCTGGCCTGGCATAACCCCTCAGATTTTGAGGAGTTACGTTTTTACTCAAGTTTGCAGAAAACAATGAGATATTTACAGAAAGTTTAAGTTAATAAACAGAGAGGACATTAATGGGTGTTACAAAATATTGTGAAGTACTGCTAGCATCTAAAGGGTAGAATAGATTAATTTATTTGCCCTTTGTTGATCCTTAAAGCAGCAGTTGAGTTATGGGCACTGTGAAATAGCTCTGGTTTTTAACACTGTGTGGAAATCTGACTTGTGTACATGCTGTTGCTGACACCTGTATGTTTGTTTCTTCAAAAGGTGGCTTTGTGTGTGCAGCAGAAGTATTTTGTCATGAAATTTGGTGTGTAATCCACTTGCAAAAACACCTGTCACAAGCCTTGCATGCATTCAGGGATTAGCTGTTACAGGGCCAGATCCCAGAATTTGAAATGTATATTCACATCCTTAATCATGGCTAATGTGGTCACATATGTTGCTGGCATGCTTACAGCTGACCTTTGTCATTCACCAGTGTGGCTAAATCTTTTTGACTGCCACATAAGGTTGTTGTGCTGGGTATATAGGGTTTTTTTATCCTGACCTGCTTGTATGTCTTCTAAATTGCAAGGGAGATTGCAGCAGTAATTGGTGAGGTCATCCCTTTTAATGGCAGCAGAGAAGATACACTACCAGTACTCTTTAAAATTAGAGTGTTTAATGATTAAAATATATACATTGAGAGAACTTCACTAGTCAAGAGTCTTGATGTATGATGCAGCAAATTATGAGACTGAAAACAGTGTTCTTACTAACAAATTGGTTTCATAGCTATTTCTGGATAGGAAACATAAGTTTGAATACACATGAGAAGCAGACTTCTTTGGGGAAAAAATAATTTGTGTTCACCAGTCAAGAAGGGGTGAGGACAAGAAAAATCTTAGCTTATATCCGATTGTTCATCATAACTGCTGAAAGCAAATACTTGGCCTGTTTAGTCTAGTGTGATCCATAAAATCTGAAGTATGTTCCAGATCTGTACTTAAAAAGTACAGCAAAAGAAACTGGAAGTAAAATTTCAAATGAGTGGATCTGTGGAAGATCTGTTGGTAAACATCATAATAAAGAGAGGAAGGAAGTGGAAATACTTCAGCATAATGCATTTGCTAAGCTCTTAACAGTATCTGTAGGATAGTCTTAATATATTCAGTAGCCTTTCTGGACACATGCTTTTGGAAGTTTGCAGGGCACAAGCAGTGACAATGATTAGGACAAGTACCTCTGAAGTTAGACTGATGCCTTGTTTCTTGTTGACTGTATTCTGTCCTCAGCAAGATTGGACCCAAAGTCCTTTTTATTGGCATGTACCCAAAAGTCATTGCTTCGTCTCAGAAAATGTTTAACTACAAATCTCTATCAATCTGCATTTTTTTCTCAGTTACAGAAGCATTCTCTGCATGTACAACTTGTCAGATACCATTATGTAGTCTCATTGTGGCTGAAATAGACTTCCAGCAGTTTCTGCAGAAAGAGTGAAATTGCAGGAAAATTATACGTTTGTTTCTAGTGTACTAGAACTGAAGCATGTAGCTTGCAGCTGCCAAGGAAGGGAAAGAGGAAATGGGCAAGAGTAGAAATCACAGTATGATTTTTTTTCACTTGACGTTTGGTATTGATTGGCAACTTCACAAGATCACACAGCAACTGGAAACAGGATTCCACTTGTCTTCTGAACAGATGATATATCTGAAATAGCTGCCCAAAATAACTTCTCATGTCATAAATGATAGAATCATGAGGGCTTTAAGTAGAAAAAGTGAGTGGAGTACTATAAATGAATACCTAAATATATTCTTTGTAATACTAATGAAAATCCGTATCTCACTTGATGATTTTTTTTCTCCTTGTTCTTAGTACCACCTATTGATGGAAGAGAAAAACCCGTAATCGCTTATATAGGAGATACAGGTGTAATGGTTTGTAAAACCGAGCATCATCCCAGGGCTTGGAAGTGGTTTATGAACAATGGAACTGAGCTGGTAAGATCTCCCTCTGTTGGGCAAGCAAAACAGTGTGACCAAAAAAAAAAAAAAGTACAGCTACTCCATGCTTCACTGCAAGCTCTACAAATTCTATTTTCATTAACTTTAGCAGAAATCTTTATGGAAATGGAAAAAAAAGTCTGTAATATTTACAAGTATTCATTGTTACAGAGATGTGGTTTTTTGATCTGGTTTGTATGTTTCTTTTTGAAAAAGGCCCTGCTATACTCCCAAATAAGGTGAGTCTTGAGAGACTTGTTTTTACTGTATTTATACTAGCTGTACTACTCAAATCTTGCTACTGGATCCAAAAATCATCTTACAGCAGAACATGCTTTCACATGTAAGATATTGTAGGACCCTTTACTTACTCCACATACAAGTAATTCTATTTCTTTGCCTTATGACCTATCTAGAAAGCACAGTTTCCTAAACCACTTTCTTTTAGCCCTCTTCTGAGCGTTGTCAACTGAGAGAAGGTGAAGAGATCTGTCTCCTTAATATGTCTGGAGACTAGCAATGACCTTTTTAAGAGTATCAGTATATTTCCTGGCAAAGGAGAGCTCCCTCTTCTTGAAACTTACGTTTTGTGCTGTGGTGAAACCCATGCATTACATCTGGCAGCCAAGGATGCCTTTGTCATTGGAGAGTCAGTAGAGCCAAAGGTGCCTTTTATCTCATCTTAAATAAACTAAAACATATCAGACAATTTGCCCACTGAAACTTTGTATTTTCTTCCAGTGAGTTTAGAAGGAATTCGGGTGTCCAGCTAAAATAAACCCTTCCCTTTAACGTGGGGTAATCGTGCTTCATTAATGCCTTTTGTTCCTAACTCATTGTATGTATCTATACAGAGCTGAATGTTGATGATAGTTTGATTAAATACCTCCTCATTACATTATTAATACTTGCAATGTATTTTTTTTTTTAGGTTTCCATTGATAAGATTTTGCCTAAAGACAAGTATGAAATTCTGAGCCGATCTGCCAGTGAAAGCCGTTTGGAGATACACAGGCTCACTGTGGCAGATAGTGGTGAATATTGGTGTGAAGCTGATTTTGTATTAGGGCCCGGTAAAGCGAGGTTTGAAGTTAGAGTTCTGTCCGTCGCAGAACCTCTCAAACCCTTTATAGCAGTTGTGGCTGAAGTTGCTATTCTTGTAACTCTTATTGGCCTCTATGAAGTGTATTCAAAGAAAAGGAAAGCAAAAGGTAAGTTTTGGGCGGGGGGGGCGGGGGGAGGTTTGGTTGGTCGATTTGGGTATTTTAAATTAATTTCTAGCTTTCTGTTGAAATTACAGCCAAAGGTAGAAAAGTAAGGCCTTTGGTGCAGCATATATGAAGTTAAGTCATTTTCACATCTGTATTTCTGAAAATTCTTTCATCTAAAACACTGCAATGAAAAGAGCTTTCACTAAGCAATACTTATCCATAAACGTTTTGAAAGTCCTGGGGGATTTTTTCCCTTACAATATAAGAATTTTGAGGCTGTAATTTTTAGGAGAATGCTTAGAAATGGAATCAATTCTTGCTAGCCTTGATGGGAGAAGTTTCTTTAAAGACATTTAGTAAAAAGGAGAAATACATGTGTCTAATAATACAGACATAAATGCATGTTATCTGTATTTTGAAATGTATAAACTTATGTATATAAATAAGATTGTTTGTTTGTATTAAAACCAGACTAATAAAACCTTATCAAAATAGGCTTCTTCACCACTTTGGAGGTGATTCCCTTGAATAGATAAAAAAAGATAATTTGAAATAAATGTTTAAGAAAACTAACAAAATTAAAAAATAATGTCTTGTACTGATTAAGCAAATACTAAATGTACTAAACAAAAAAATTTCTATTGTTTATTAAATGGATACTTATATATATATATATACTTCTTTTGTTCTGCAGAAGGTGAAAAAGAATTTGACCAAATTGAGCAACTGTAAGCAAAAAAGTTCCTATACTGTAATTCAGTATTTGTTCTTACGTGTATTTGTGTTGTACAAAATTATACATTGTTGTTGATCCCATTGACAAGGGGGGTGGTGGTCGATGTAAAAGAACAATTTATTCTTTTCCTTAGGAATTCCTAATTCCACTTATTTTCTGTCTGGAAGTTGATTTTGAAATTACTTTTTTTTTGGTGGTGTTTTTTGTTTGTTTGTTTTGTGTTGATTTTGGATTTTTGTTGTTTCTTCTTGTGAGAGCACTGTGTGTCCTCATTATAAGCTCATTCTAGAAGACTATAACTGCATGGAAATTATTTCCAGGTGAAAGTGTATCAGAAGTGGCCCTGGTTTGGTTTTTTTGGTGTTTTTGTTTTTTGTTTTGTTTTTGTTTGTTTGTTTGGGCAGTTTGTGGCAGGTTTTTTTCCCCCAAAGTGTATTTGTCCATGTTAACATACATTTCTCTGCTTTGCATGTGGTCAAAGCCCTAACTCTCATATCTAAGCCTGTAGTTGCTGGCGTCTTGGGAGATGGCATGGTTGGCTGTTTTGGGGGCTAATTCCAACCTCTCAGGAGATCTCACACTGTGGTGGTACCTTGGGCTTCCTGGGCTGCGCTGCTGCAACCAAATGAGCAGGTGTTGGCACTTGTGTTGCTGTTCTGCAGTTCCAGGGTCTGTGCTCCCATGCTGGCTCCCCTGTCCGTCGGATTATGTATTTCTTGAGGCTTGCTTGCTTAAGTATGCTATACTTGTCTCTCTGCCTGTCCCCTGAAGCCTGGTTCCCCTTATTTAACCTGTTTACCTCTTAAAAGAGGAAAGTTGCCCAACAGGTCATTTTAGGTGTGTCCAGTCTACTCTAGTTTTTGTCATCTTGCTTCCTTTTCTGCTGCTGTGTTTGTCTCCCCTTTTCTTCTGACCCTTTAATATTATTCTTTCCTGCTTTGATTTTTTTTTTTTTTTTGCTGCAACGGTCTTTGTTTTCCTGTGTTGTATTCACTTTCTCATTCCTTTTTTAAGTGCTGAAAATATATTATGGTTATTTTCCACTCATCTGAACAGACTTAAAGCTCTAATTAAATTACAGTATAAAGTGGGAGTATGTCTTGGGAATATAGTATTATATTATACTGCTGAATGTTTGGGGATATGCCTTGAGTTGAAAATTGAAAAATTGCTTTCATTGCATAGCCTGCTTCTCATAAACATGCTGAAAATACTAGAATGGTAAAACAGAATAGTTCACTAAAATAATTTTTTTGTCAATGTGGGATGTAGTTCTCTACAGCTGCTCAATCTTTATTGTGTAATTCTTGGATAAACATATATGAGGAAAATTTATTTAACTATGTACTTCCCTGACTCAAGAAATGAAAGCTATTTCAATTATGGCTGTTTAGAAGATGGATTTGTGTACCAGAGAGTGGCTCCTAAAGAACACGTCTGGTCTGTTATGTCAGGGGATGACTAATACAGCTGTATTTGGTTGATGAGGCTATAATTAAATGTCACATCCAGCAGTGTATTTAAATGGGAGCCTAGTGAATCACAAACTTTTTTTTAGCAAGAGAACTTTTAATCAAGTCTCTTTAGTGATGCACAGCATAAAACCTAGTTGCAGTTATTCTAGAAGGAGACTGGGAATGATTGTGCTGTCTTACTGTTCAGTTTTGGAATTTACCCTTTTTTTCTTGTAGTAAATCAGGAGACAACGTAACTGAGAAAGATAAGTAGTTCTATGCAGAGAGTGAAGGTTCCTTTAAAGGTAAGTAAGAGATTTGTAACATAACCTTATATGGAATAACTTAGTCTGCATAATTGCTCCCATCTTTCCTTTCTTCTCACCCAAACTAGAGGGGAATTCCCAGAGCCTATGAGGTGCCCTTCCAGGGCACGGCCCTGGTAAGCTCACAGGCCTCCAATGTGTAGTGCTATGAAAGCTATATAATGCATTTCCTGAATCTCTTCCATCTTCACAGTCTGATTATAGACTGTTTCTGCTTCCACCATCTGGAAGTGCTTGTCAGAGCAGTCTGTCAGTTGAGGACCAGTCCTACACACACTTGTTTCTCTTCTGCATCTGGCACCTTAACCTCTGATCTGTAGAAGAGAGGTGTGAATGACTTTGCATTCATGTGGCTGCTGGTTCATCCTTACCAGAAGCCATCTACCGAGTAAAGATTGTTGCCCTACCAAAGAACAGTAGGAAACATGACAGGTGGAGTTCACATAAAGAGAGTTAAAGCTCAGAAAATTATCCAGAACAAATGTTTTCCAAGATTATATGGTCTCTGTTCCTCTTAGGTTTAATCACAGCTGGCAACTCAGCCTCATGTAGCCACTTGCTTTTACTGTCGGGTGGAATGGGGGAAGAATCAGATGAGTAAAAATGGGTGAGCTTAGGGGCCGAGATACAGACAGCTTGACAGAAGAAAACAAATGTGAACACAGAAACAAAGGAAAGAATTCATTCACTCTTTCTTATGGGCAGGCAGGTGTTCATCTGTCTCCAGGAAAGAAGGGCTTCATCATGTTTGAACATGTGTAATAGCTGCTTGGGTTAATTAGGGATACTAGTGCTGTGGCTCAGAATGTGTGTCCCTTCCCATTTCTCTTTCTTCCCCCAGCTTTACCTGCTGAGCATGATGCCCTATGGGAGGGAGAATCCCTGTGGTCAGATGGGGGCAGGTGCTCTGGCTGTATCACTTCCCAACTCCTTGTATTCCCCAGCCTCCTTTGCTGGTGAGGGAGAGGACAAGGCCTTGTGACAATGTAAGCACCTAAGAGCAATACCTAAAACATAACTGTGCTATCAATGCTGTTTCCAGCACAAATCCAAACTTTGCCCTATGGCATGTGCTGTGAAAAAAATTATTCCAGTCAAAACCAGCTCACAAGAATTTCTCTTATGTTGGAATTTGAGGTTGTATCTTACAAAGTTCTTTTGACACATAGCAGTGAGTCAATAAATAATGGTTCTTCTCTGAGAATCACCTGCTTTGTTTTCCTATACCGTGTCAAAAGTTTTAATGTCTTTAAATGATAAATTCCAGTTGCTCTCTGTAACTCCCTGAAAATAGCTTGTAGCAAGGTGGGGATGAGTCTGTTCATTCAAGTAACACATGGTGGTACAGGAGGAAATACCAAGTTGTATCAGGGGACGTTTAGTTTCGTATTAGGAAAGCTTTATTCAGGACAGGGTGGTCAGGCACGGGAGCACAAGGTTGCCCAGGGAAGTGATGGAATCCTCAACCTTGCTCAGAAGGTGTGTGGATGTGGCACTTAGGGTTATGGATTTCTGCTAGATACAGTGGTGCTGAGTTAATGGTTGGACTTGATGTTATGGAGGTCTTTTCTAACCTAAACAATTTTGCAATGGTCCATTGGACCATTGAAAAAAAATGGATCTATTGATTAGAATGAAGTTTATTTTCAAACAATATGGGAAAATGCTAAACAGCAAAATAACAGAATTTGTATTATAGTGAAATGTGTTTATTCTTTTTTATTGCAGGAGATTTAAGCCAATAGAAGTAGAAATCATCATAAAGTTACAGAAGATGTATGCAGCCACTTAAACATTCACTATATTTTGAAGTAAAATCCTCTACATTTGAGAAACAAGATGTTTTCAAAATAGCTCTGAAACTACTCATTTTGTACTGACGATAATACGATGTATTGTATTTAGATGTTTATCTGTACCACTTTACTACTAGCAGGGCATTTTTTATGTGATTAGGCTCGCTGTTGGTTTATGATTGATCTGTTTGATTTTTATCTCCCAAATTGGAGCTAGTGTTGTATTCATTGAAAAAATGGTCAATATAGAGTGGTTATATTATCTGAGTGTTATAAAACTGGATATGTACAATCAAAAAAGTATTCCACCAAAGAAAATGCCTTTTACTAGCTGATGAAGCAAATGTGATGCAGCTGTTTTTACCAAAGAAATGGTGAAAGGGGAATCTTTATCAGGACTTAAATGAAACATTGAGAGAGTTGCAATTGCTCTTAATAGTAAAATGTGTTCATTCTAATTTATCTTAGCTTTATTCTTAGTTCTACTATATTGTAGTCTTCAATAGGCTAAACATTCAGATACCATATAGCTCAGATATTTCAGAGTTGATGAAAGAAGTATTGGGGAAACGGTACCTTCTCAGACTAAACCTGGAATAATTCCTAATGCTTGAAAAACTTAACTGCACTCTGTGGGTCTGCAAAATCAGTTTGGTTATTATAATTTATATGGAGTGCTGAATTTTCAGGAATATACCTGTATAAGCTTCCAATCATACACTGTCTAGTTGGTACTTCTGCTTCTTTCAGCAAGCTGCTGTTTCTTACACTCCTTGCAAAGCACAGAGTGGGTCTTGAGCAGCTGAAATTTTCAGGATAATAGGATGAAGCAGCATGAGTACATACCACTACTACTCTGACACAAAAAATTTAATGCTGCTGTTAGTGACTTACAGTATCTTATGTGACTTACACACTTCAGAAGAGTGTGTTGCCATAATACTGTTTAGTTATGCATTCAGCAATTGAAAATGTTTAGCTAATAAGAAGACAGTTGGTTGCATCAGTTGTCTTTGCTTGAAGTAATTGAAGCTTCAATTTTGAGAGGAGGAAGTCTTCAGAAAAATATTTTTTCTCCATAAAAATGTAAGGAAAAAGGCAGCACTTGCAGACACCATAAGAAAGTGAAAGAAAAAAAAATACACAGTACTTCTTTGTATTGGTCATTTTTCTTTGAACATAAGGGAATGTAGAAAAAAATAGATAAACCAAATTTAATTTCCTTCTTGATTTTTTTTCTATTTTACTGTTCTTAGGGGTTTGAAAAATATCAGAAATCCTAGGATTGGCTGTTTTGTTGGAAATAGGAGATAAAATCCAGTCTGACGTAGGCTTTTTTGTTTTCATAATTTATTTTCCAGTTTCAAGAACTACAAGTTAAGGTCCAAATAAGACACAATGAGAATTATAAAACCATTGGGTGATTGACTGTAAGGAGTGGACACTGATAAAGATTCCCCTTGCTTAGATACTGTGTTTATTGTATTTTGCCTTGGACTTTCTATGCACTATTAAAACCAGAATGCATCTACAGTTTTTTATATGAATTTCTCATTGATATAATTAATATTTTTATTGCAGCAAGTGTGGGCAGTTTTAAAATGTTTACTTCTGGTAACCATTTGTAAATTTTTTGGCACATTTCAGAGTTTGTAGTAGTTTGTTTCCTGTAGGCAGTTAAATAGTAAAAAAGATAGTTTTACTTTAGAGAGCTAAGAATTACATTCTGAATAAAGCAGTATTAGTATATTTTGCAATGGAAATGAGGCTAGATACTGTCTGGAAAAAAAACCTGCCAGTTAATCAAAAATGTTAATCTTTCTGCCTTCATGTAGCATTCCTACCTGATCCTGCAGTTGGGCTGTAAAGTCTTCACTAACATACGCAACTTATACAGAGAGAGAATTTTTTGGCATTAGCAGGGAAAACCTGGATTAAGCATGGATTTTAGAAGCAGCACATCTTAATCTTTTAGGACTATATAAGCTTGGTCAGACTGGCTGCTGAAACTATGGATTTGCCTTGACCTGCCTCTAGCATGTTCTCCTTGCTTTTTTCTAAGGGGTTTGGTGTTTTATTTTCAGGTTGGTGAGTAGTTTTTCGTCATAAGAGGTTTTACTCTATGCATGTTCTCCTAGGTTTAAATCCTTTTGGGCTGCCCTGTGGAGGGGAAGAACAAACAATATTAAATGGTAAATGTTAAGTAATTGGCATAATTAATGGTCAGCTTCAATGGCATAACCTCTGCTTTCTTGCTCCAGTTACCACCAGAAGCTGTGGAAATCTTGAAATTTATCTTTTGAGAAGTATGTATTGTTTATGTTCAAAACATTCCCAGTGTAGTTGCTTTATGATCTTAGCATTGAATAGAACAAAACTTCATAACTTTAAAAAACCTTAAAACTCTGGGAAGTGATTTTTTTTTTTTTTTTTACTTCATTCAAGCCAGGAGGTACCAAATAAGATCCAAAAAAATGGTGAAATTTCTTTCAAACAGCAGTTGGAGCTAAGTGTAAGGATCCACAGAATTGGTTTTAATAACAAAACATTAACAACAGGCTTACATTGGTAGACTGAATCTTAACTACAACTGTTAGGCAAATTTTGTCTTCCAAGATTAAAACCTTTTCTTGCAAGAGGGGATATTTTACTGGATTTTAGACCATCAAAAGCCTTACCAGTTTCGTAGCGGAAAAGGTTGAAATCTGCAAAAGAATCCTGAAGGCCCGTTTCCTAACAGTTTAAGCTGCTGCACTGCAAATTCTTCCTGCCCTTAAGTCCAAAGTAGACACAAATAGCTGTGAGACCAAATTTCTAGTGAAGATGGGGGTTCAAATAGAACTGCATTAATATTTCTTTAGTATGGAGACCTAAGCATTACCTTCCAGTTGTTCAGCAAAATTGATTAGCTGTGGTTCCTTTGATTCACATAATCTGGGGAAGAGAGGGACAGCTCATCAGTACTGATGTTGCTACTGGAATCAGTACCTGTGTGCCTCTGACTCTTTTTCGGCCAGAAATTTAGGTTTATATTCTGCCTTTAAGTTGTGCCCCAGAGCCTTTGAATAGTTGACTGAGCAATGAAACATTGCTGAGCAATGAAAATTGAAAAGAAAATGATTAGTACAGTAGGGGCAGGGGAGGTTTTTGAGATGCGTGGCACCCTAAGTGTTGAGCTACCTAGCACGTGTTGTCTGACCACAATTAGCTGCATGATGACTCAGTTCTAGCTGGAAGCTCCCCTGAAACAGGAAGGTGTGGATAGTGAGGAAGCAACTAGATGTGAGGACATTTGAGGAACATGGGAAGGAATGGCATTGTGGTGTTGTGTAGGGTCCTGAGGGACAGAAAGCAGAAGTTGAGGTGACTTACAATTAGACATGTACAGGGAATGCAAATCTGTAGGAGAAAACATGTTTTCAGTTGTACCACTCAGACTGTGTAGGAAGTTTTGTACAGCAGCTCAAAACAATCTGCCATTGCTGAACGCTTGGACAGATGAAAGCACAAAGCTAAATGAGATATCTCATAAAGAGAACCAGAAGTTACATGCTTAGAAAATACTTCTCTGCTAGTTTAACAGTTTTGTAGTCTTGTGTCTTCATTATGCTAGAATGTGCATAATTCTTCGTGAAAAAATAAACCACCAAGTTCCAAACTATACAGCTTCTAATGGAAGGTCTTGATTTGTCAAAATTTACTGTTGGCAATTGAGTTCACCTATGTAGTTGTATAATGTTTGTTCTGTCATACCCAAAATTCTGCCCAAAAACTTCCTTACAGAAACTTCATCTGTTTTTTTTTTCTGTTCAGCTTTGTATTTAACCAAAGAGATTTTGTGGTTTTTTTATTACTTAGTATATTTCTATCAACTAATTTGCTGAATTATTTTCAGATAGATACTAAAAGTTAACAGTGCCTTGAAGGAAGATGTTTGTTTACCATAGTCAATTTTGTTTTTCACAATATATTTGTTAAAAGTTTTCCTCTGAAACTTGACAGCAAAATCTGTTTGTCTAGTAAAAGACTACTAAGCCTAATGCTTCTTTCACACTTGCCTTATTTTACATTCTGATTTTATATTCTGTGCTCACATGACTGTTCCCTTATTAAGTAAGCAAATGGAAATACCCGGTTTGTTTGATACATATCACATAATGGGGATGGTAGTTATGAATAGTATGAATTGATATGTGTATTTTGAAATAATTTTAATAAATATGACCATAAAGTCATTGTGATCTGATGCCTGGTGTCATAGAGAAACAAAAACTCCATAACAAAATCAAACTTCTCTTTTGTAAATTTTTTTTTTAAATTTATTTACTTCTCCATACCCTCAGATCTTTAGACCTGGACTGTACATTTGCTTGATTACCCAACTGTCTTTACTTAGATCTGTAACCTTCTAGATGGAAATTCCCAAAGATAAAATAAAATCCAAGTAATTCCTTTTTAAATGCACACACTGTATGTGGCCTAGATTCATCCTAGATTGTAACTTGGACATACTGATTATATCTAGTGTTTCACTGTTAATGGGAGGTGGTGCTAAAGGGTATCTTCCAGCAGAAAATAGCAGCCTAAATAGAATCTGGATTCAGCAGGGTGAGTATCACCCTGTATCAGTCCTGTTTCTTTAATGAAGCACAATATATCAAAACACATTTACAGGGGTTTTGTCTTCCCATGAAGGTAAATTTCTGCACTTGGAAATTGAATTAAGCTCTGTTTTTATCCTTCCAGTTGTCAGTTGAAGGAACACCTAAGGGCATTTCTGAGGTTGTCACCTTTGATGATCTCCAAGGCACAATATAACATTTTGTTAAGTACATGCACTGTTTGTGCTGTGTTTAGTAGCACGTCCTTGCTCATTGCTGTCTTCCCCAGAAGAGCTCAAGTGAGATAAATTGCATGTCTATATTTGGTCCCTCTTTTGGCAGCTGTTTTGAACGTTTGTGAGCTTGTTTCCCCCAGCAGAAGACAGGTACCAGGCAGGATGACCTGTGGAAGAGGAGGGAATACCAATACCTGCATTTCTGCCACTGGGAGTTTGCTGTACAGAAGAACGAGTCTGTACAAAAATAGGAAAGACTAATGCTAACCCCTGTGAATAAATGGTCAAATCCTAAGCAGAGGTAGATGTGCAGCCAAGAGCATTTGGTGGATAAGTTATTGCAATAGAGTGAAAGTGAATCTATGTGTTTGAAGTACCAAATACTTCTTTATTTTCTTTTTTAAAAGTCTACTATTTAAAAAGCATCATGTAGAAACTGACAAATAATAGCAGAGGGAGATGAAATTTGGAGTCCTTCCAAATGAAGAGAATAAGGGAATTTTTATCCTTTGCTGTTAAGGAACACGAGTCTTCTAAATGCATGACTACTTCCAAAAATCATAAAGGAAAACATGTAGAATAGTATTGTTTAAAAATGCCAAACAACTTGACAGCTCAAACATATACTCTGGATTGGAAAGAAAACATCTCCCCAGTGCAAGTAAAATAGCAATAGCCTTTCCATATTGCAGAACAACTGCTATTTACTGACTTTAATTCTGTTTCTGTGGATAAAGAGCTGGTAATCATGTCTGACATTTTTAAATACATTAACCTCTACATTACTTAAAGTCCCTCTAAGACTGTCAGACAAAATAAGGTCATGCAGTTACTCTTTGAAACTTGGGAATTAGGATAATTTTTTACAGTGATGTATTTCTCTCTGTGAGCTGATCTCAATTTGCTACATAGTTCAGCCCTTGCATGCAACTGTTTTGTCAGAACTTAGGGGTTCAGGTGGTTCTGCTCAGAGAGTTCACTCAAATCTTTGCAACCACTAACTTTCATGACTCAGGAATGAAGGAGAGAAGCAGTGAGGAAAAAAAAAAAAAAAAACAAATCCCAGAAGACACAACCACACATGCAGAAAAGCTGAGTGTGTGAATTGACAGAAACAAATACTCAAGGACAGCCATTAAACCGTTGACAAAATGCAGAGAGCAGACTTACTTCATTGCCCTGGTAGCAAGAGCAGGCAGCAGAGACGCACCAGGGACAGGGCCCCCATAAGGCTGAGCTCACCCTAGCGCACAGTGGGGGTGCCCTGCTGCCTTCCCCTGTGCAACAGAAGGCTTTCCACGTGTCTGAGTGTCTTATCTCTCCCCGTGATTTCTGCTTCTCAA